AAATGCTAGGGCTCCTTATGAAGTCTACCAAATGATGGCAGAAAGAGAAGGATTTTGCTTTAAAAGGAAGGAAACTGAGAAAGAGACTTTGGTTGGACTTTTGTCTATCTCACTGACCTAAGTATTGTGAATTGAAGTAGTCTGGGAGCTGATCCCAGCTGTAAAAAGCAGCCATGCAGGTCCTTTAATGAGCCAGGTGCCTGTACCAACATGGGGGAGATCTCATCATCCCTGGCCGGAGTGAATCCCATTCAAGGAGTTTTCTCCCTGAGCTAAAGGATGGAAGATAAGATTGACCAAGGGCCAGCCCAGCTCTCCTGACAGTTTTCTCCCTCTGTTCTCAAGGTGGATTATGATGTTTGCAGCAATTATGGCAACTGGTTATACAGCGCTGGCATTGGCAACGACCCACGGGACAGCAGGAAGTTTAACATGATCAAACAAGGCCTGGATTACGATGGGAATGTGAGTTTTGCTTGGCTGTTTGACAAGGATGAGTGCAGTAAAGGACATGTGGTGTTTTCAGGGAGCAGAGGAGATCAGTGTGCTGTGTGGATATGAAAGCAGTTCTTGTGTCTGCTGGCCAACAGCCAGGCAGGTTCCTCCTTGTGTGCAGGGCAGTGTAACTTTAACAACCTGCTGCTGTCCCCAGGGAGGCTGGAACTCCCCACGCCCTCCCTGCTCAGTGTTTCATCACCATTTCTTCTGAGTCACAGCCACATCCCTTCAGTACCTCACACAGATGCTTCCCTGAGCACAGAGCAGCTTCTTGGAGAACTCAGGAGTTACCTGAGAGACAGAACCATTCCTTGAGAGGTGCTGAAGAGTAGATTAAACCTGTGACTCCTCTGACTGTCCTCTCTTAAATGGTGGGGGAAGATAAATTGCCCTTTCCGTGTGCTTTGCCAGTATTCACATACTGGATTGCCTGTTTCCACACTATTCCTTAGCTTCACATCAGGCTGTGCTGTTGCTTTTTGGCACTGTAGCTGGCAGGATTTAACAAGAAATCAGAAATTAGTCCTAGTAGAGGACACAGCAGTAGAGTTAATAGGAGAGATTCAGGAACACAAGAGTGTGCAGCTGAGCTAGTTATCCTATTTTCCTTCAGTCATGGGAAACTTCTAGGGGGTGACTTCATTTCAGGATGTCCTAAACAGGACAGGTGAACAGTGCTGAAAATGCACCTGTGCCTCCCTCCTCTGCCTGCAGTGTGAGCATGGGGGAAGAGCTCCAGCATCCAGGTCTGTCTTTAGGCACTAATTCTGGGTGGAGGATTTAGCAGGAGGGGCCAAGGCTTGTCAGAGGTAACTGATGCTGTACAACACCAGTTTCTCTACCTGGAAATCTGGCTCCTCTCTTTGCCATTGGGACAGAGCCTTGCTGGGAAGCTCTTACAGATTGTCACTGAATGGATCCTGTGCCACTGGTTCTGTTTGCAGGGGGATTATGTCCGGCTGTGGGTGCCAGAACTGCAGGGCATCAAGGGAGCAGACATCCACACCCCCTGGGCACTGAGCAGTGCTGCTCTCTCCCAGGCAGGAGTGACTCTAGGTGACACCTACCCACAGCCAGTGGTGACAGCCCCGGAGTGGAGCCGACACATCCACCAGAGGCCTGTGAGTACTGGCAAGGCTGGGATGGGGTGGCAGGGCTCCAATCTCTGTGGGTTCTGCTTTTCTTTCTCAGGTGTAAAGGGAAAAAAGTTGTTTTAATGCAAGCTCGCATTACAATCACAGCAGGGACTGTGCAGCCAGGATTATTTAGCTGTCTGTCCTACCTGCTGTGGTGAAGGAGGTAAATTTTTGCTGCTTCTCTGTCCCTTGTATAGTCGGCAGGGCTTAGCCACAGCATGTCCTTCTAGCATTTTTCCATGCCCTGGTAGCCCTGCCAGAGGGATGGGGTCTCCCCAAAGCCTCCACTGGTGTGACCACCCCCCAATACAGATGGAAAAAAGAGAAATAACCTAGTGTCCTTTCTGTTCAGGAGGTGCAAGTAAAAACAACCATCTTCCTGCTTGAGTGTATCCAAACTGGGGTCAGCAAGACCTGTAAATATGGAAACTGCTCCTTGCATTTTGCTTTTCGGGTATATCTCCCCTTTACAATGGGGGCAGAATGAGATGTTGATCCTGCAACATGTCAAGGCTTTTGCTGCCTGGGATGCTGTTCTTGGAGGAGATGGGTATGGAAGGAAATGGATGTAACCAAAGTTTTGTATTGTAAGAGTGTTCAGCATTTTGCCTTTCCCCCATGCATCTTCCCTGCCTCCTCCTGAGTGAGGATACTTTGTGGAGGCTCAAATTTAGGTGTTCTACCAAGTCAGTGAAGAATGCAGCATGTCTCCATTTCATCTTTTAGTCCCAAGGTGCAGTAGCAAATTTTTAGGCCAGATTCCTTTGCCATGAGTGGAAAGTTTTGTGGAAGCAAAGCCTCCTGCTTCATCCATGCTGTTGGAGGGCCTGGATTAGGAACCTCCTGGGATGAGAGAAAGGACTCTGCAGGAACACCTTAGTGAGACACCAGATTGAGACAGGGATGAAACTTGAAGCCAAAAAGCTTCTCCAAAGACAAAAGTTCTATTTTTATCAACTTCCCCAGCTCACCCTACCAGAAACCCTGGTTTCTTAAATCCCAGCCTACAGCAGTGCCTGTCAGGCCTTCCTGCCCTTTTGGGTGAACTTGGGAGGCAGAAGTTCCACGTGCACATTTTCCTGCATGTCAGCACTGCTTTGTGACCAAATCCACTCTGCAGCATCAGTAAATATCTCACTGTTCCTTGTCATTTGCCACAGGGAGGAAGCCCCCACCCCAGGGGCAGGAGGGGACCAACACAGCACAAGGACAGAGGGATTGATTTTTACTTCTCTCGCAAGAAAGATGCTTGCTGAAGGCTGAAGGAGTGCTCAGCAGGAAGTTTTGCTGCTGAGGGTGCCTGTATAATGGTTAATCACCTTGAACAAGCCAAAGATACAGGTTTGGCATGGTAAAATAAGAGATTTGCCTGTGTGGTGTTCTCAGGGACACGTGCTGGATGTGGGTGTTTGGAGGTTGTGGATCAGCACCTCTCCTTACAATCTGGAGCCAGTGGTTTATGTGGCAGGTGTTCAGTCAGAACTGAAACTTCTTATGCTAATTTTTCATGTTTGAAAGTTTTAAACCCACCAATCCTTGTGCAATTAAAAGTTTTATTACTGGAATATTTTATCATCCTCATTTCCACAGAACTCCATAGAGAGAGACTGCAGAGGATGTTCTTTTACTGTGTCTCCTGCAAGACTTTGGAGAAGAAGTGTATTCTTCCTGAAAATTTCCTTGTACTTTTGGTACCATCCTGGAAGCTGAAAAATGTTCAGTTCATAGCCAAGAGTTGTGTTTTGTACTTGGCATCAAAAAACAGTTTGAAATGGATCCCTAACCATTTTTAGGATTTTATTTTTATGCAGAATGCTCTAGTTGCTAGAGTTTGGAAACTAGAAGAGTAGTTCTCTTCTACTTCGAAGAGGTTGGGAATTTGGAGATGGCCATATTTGTGCTGTCATGGAGCATTGTCATCTGAGGGGAGCCCAGATCTGAACAGTTTGACCACAAAAGATGGGATGTCGTTCTGGATTTATTGCTACTAGAGATCCACTGGGCTTGTTCTGTAAAGAATAACTGAAGTACTGTAAAATCTCTGAACATTCTGGGTTGATGGGTTCAGCTCTGGGTGAGAAATAAACAGACATTGAACACAAGAGCAAGTTGTTCTGCCAAAAGCAGAAAAACCAAGTGATTTTTAACATAAGCCCTATCATGGCCACTTTAACAATTCTACCATTTGTTGTATTAGGGACCTGGGCAGGAATGTGGCCATCAGGAGGTGATTTGGAGGGGAATAGAGTGAAACAGCTTTTAGTGACAGCACTGTTCTCTCTGGCTTAAGTGTCTCCTGACACACAGCACAGATCCCTGTCCAGGCTGCTCCAGAGGGCAGGGCACTACATTTGGACAAAGCCCAGCAGGAGAATGACTGAATCAATTAAGTTGGAAAAGTCCTCTGAGACATCACCATGTCAGTGAGTGCCACATCCAGTCTTTCCTTGAACAGCTCCAGGGATGGTGATTCCACCACCTCTCTGGGGAAGCCCATTCCAATGTAACCATCCTTTCTGTGAAAAAATTCTTCCTGATGTCCAACCTAAATTTACCCAGCACAGTTTAAGACTCTGTCATCTTGCCCTATCAGTTATTGCCTGGGAGAAGAGGCCAACCCACACCTCTCTACAACCTCTTGTCAGGAGGGAGTTTCAGAGAGTGATGATGAATCCCCTGGGCCTCCTTTTCTCCACATTAAACACCCCCAGCTCCTTCGGCCACTCCTCCTAGGACGTGTGCTTCAGACCATTCCCCAGCTTCTCTGGTCCCACTCCAGCCCCTCAGTGCCCTTCCTGATTTGAGCCCAGCACCGGACACAGCACTGGAGGTACAGAGCACATGGGGAGCTTCCCTTCCCTTCCCTTCCCTTCCCTTCCCTTCCCTTCCCTTC